CTAGCAACTTTCGACGGGTGTTGAATAGACGAAAACTCCCCCGTTCGTCACTCAATTCGAAAGAACTCTTAGGGAATTTCGCCGGCGCGATAATCGCATTAAAGACACAAGCTGATCGGCCAAACAGAACGATTATGCGAAACGAATGTTTGGATAATTAATCGGTTTTAACGCATCGATTCAACTGTCTGCGCTTCCTCTACACAGCTCACACATCTTGCAATTGTTGTTTTGTAATTACAGAGTATTCGCAGGATTAATTTCGCATGTTGATTATAAAGATCGTTTTAATTGACTGTTTATGATGGCAATGCTACGAGGGCGCGCCAAGAAAGTGATAATTGCCTTTTTCTCTTTCACGAGGTTATACCTTCCAACGTGATCTTCCGCCTGTTAGGAATTAACTGGCACGTGACTTGCCTCGTTACGTCCAATTATTTTCCGCAACAGCACCAAGTGAAATTAAATGTTTCCTTTAATGTTGACTGCAATGCCAGCAAGATACAGAGATAAGATTTTCATTTTCATTGAATTTTTATTGGCTTTCAACTGTTTTTTCTTATATTAAATTTATATTTAATAAATAAACTTTTTTAACAATAATCAACATGACTAGAATCCTTAACATTTTCCACCACTATCAACATGATTCTTTTTGTTTTAATTCATCATTCCATTAATTAATTAAACAATCGCGATCGTACTTTGATAAACGATTCGAGAAGAAACAATATGCCTAATGTATTTATCAAAGGAGCTCAACAATCGAACATTCAAAGCATCTTTCCAAACACAAGAAAAGAAAGCCTAGGTCCCCAAGCGAAAAGACCGCAAAAGGAGTCTCGCGACCGCGGGACCATTCCTTATTTGCCGTTCGGCGAGAGTCCCGCGGGAATCACGTCTATTCTTCCGACAATGCGACATTGAGACGAGAGAGAGAGAGAGAGCGAAAATCGTTTACCGCGTGCAAACACTGCAGTGCGGCTCGTCAATTATACCCACCACCGAGTAAGAGAGAAAGAGCGAGAGAGAGAGAGAGAGAGAGAGAGAGAGAGAGAGAGAGAGAGAGAGAGAGAGAGAGAGAGAGCGAAACCGAACGCTCAGAACTTGGGCTTTGAGTGATCGACGCGTATTGTGCTGCCCTGAGTCGCGCTCGTTTAATTGCATTAATTTCAACAGTACTAAGTATTGTTTTTGATCGATGGCGAATTTCCAAATTATTAATTTTCGCGATAACGTAAGGTGCTTTTACAATGGCACTAGCTTTATTTAATATGTGAAGTGATAATTTTCGGTATTTCATTGCCATTTAATCAATGCCGTGATAAAAACTTACAGTTCTAAAAGATATTCAACACAGAGTTTCGAAGAACGAAGTGCTAAGATAATCAACGCACGTGTCGCCCGAAATTTCTTTGTTGAACGGAAGGAAAGAGAAAGAGAGAAAAAAGTAGACCGTCGTACATTCACTAAGTGTTCAGCGACTATTGTATTGCTCCGCGTGTTGCACTGCAAGTTGCCCGCGTAGGAATACGAGTGAAGTGGTGGGAAGCGATGCAGAAACAGTAGTGACCGATTGAATCGCCCTGCTATATTAACAAACGTAGTATAGTTCTGACTATGATTGATGCAGTATCATTTTAAAAAAGGTTTCATTATTTTTTGGTTTACTTCTCTTTTCAACTTTTTTTTTTACATCGAATTCCCTTTATTCTCATTAAGGTTGTATCACACCTAATTGAAAAAAATTTAGAGAAAATTATGAAATTAGTACTTTATGAAATTGTGACATGAAAAACACTTGGTTAAAGTTTGGTGAGTTAAGGTTGGCTTTGACATGAGATATAAATAATTTTTTTTTCACATTAGTTAACATGACTTCTTATGGGAATCAGCACTTAGTTTTACATTTTTATTTGTATCTTACATTAGCAAAAAACGTAGATATTTTGGAAATCTTCTTGCACAATAAAAATAAATATCCGAGAATCACTTTGATATATTAAAAATAATAATTCATTGATTGTTAGTTGGTGAACTCCAATATTTTACAAATCCTTACAAAAATCGTCGTGTATATATGTGTGCGTGTGTGTGTTAATGTACGTGCGCGCACGTATGCGTGTGCGTATCCAAACCTAACCTAACTTTTCTTTGATTCGCGTAATTGATATGAAATCTCTTCAAAAGGTCAATCGTAGTCAATTACCAAATAAGAAAAGAGTATATCAAAGTATATTGTGAGTTTAGATTATTAGTTTGAATTGGACCTAATAATATATTAGATATATAAGATCATACATTTAAGGACCAGTAAATAATTACGTATATATACATATATACATTTCTTCATTGGATAGAATTTGATTTGGACCATTCTAGATATATATTAACTTATATATCTATCTCACCCTATGACAGTGTAACTTTGATGATAGTAATTATTCTTATTCAGAACTTGACAAATAAAATATATGATTACTTTCCTATATGATAATATAAATAATTTTTTTAATTACTATAAAATTGCTTATATATTGTTAATCAATTATAAAGTGCCTTTTGTCCTATTGGCAATTCGATATTACATTTACTTTTCGTTTTTTACCAACAATTATACGAATACGTCAGTCTTATAATTATAGTCCATTTAGCACACGTCGTATGTGCGCGTACCGTGCTTGAGCCGGCCACGTGCATTTGAATAATCGGCGTACATCGGTTTGAAATCAGTCTTAAGTGGAAAAAATATTGCGGAATATCAATCAAATATATTTAATTATCCCGTAAGAATGTTTTTGAATATTCATTCTGTGGTTCCGTGAGTTTCATTTATTTTAACTATTCACCCTTTTAAATTAAATATTATAAAATTTTACATTACCTGGTCATTATATAATACTAAACACGCAGGATGAGGATTGGAAAAAAGAAAGTGTCAACACATTGAAATTGTAGTATAAGTTGCGTGAGACCGACTGGAGATTCGACGGTAGTACCCACAACGCGTTTGGAGACTGCTCGTCGATAAAAACATTTCCAGACGCCTCGCTTAACGGCGATACGTCACAAATATTAAGAGCTTATTAGGGTACTTCACGTCAATCGGATCTAAGGCAAAGCATTCGTACAACATTGTATCCTGTGGCAAACGATGAATCTTCCTTGCTCTTACGTCAATTAGACGAAAAGCGATATATTGAGGATAATGTGAGAAGCATCACTACAATGCCCAGAAGCTGTAACTCGAGTAAGCTTGTAATATTACGAAGTTATAAATTACACTGACATATGAGAATGTAAGACGAAGATGAGGACCCATCATCGCAATTAATGACTTTGCGGTACATACATTTCACCAAAATAAATTATATTCATTGCCCGTAAGTTATTATACGTAATCATTCGGTCAAACGAATAACAATAATCTACAACACAAGTACGCAAGAAGCCGGAATGAGAAGCGATCGATCAGTGCTTATACGCGCGCAGGTGAGAATAAATAAATAAATAAAGAGGAATTCGAAAGAGAGAGGAAAATTTAAGACTCGGAAGAACGATCGCACGTTAACGAGATACAAATCCCATTAGGACGTCGTCGACCCAATCGGATAATCTGCATCCCTCGCTTTTTAGCATTCGCATGCGTGTGTATGCGTATAGAAAGGGAGACACAGGGAATATCTATCCCCGGGACATCTGCGCGCTGATTGAATCTCACTCACTCTCTCTCTCTCTCTCTCGTGTCTTTGGCCCGAGCAAGCGTGGGAGGTAGACGAGCTTTTTGTTTCATGGCAAATTGATAAGTGCAAAGCATTTAGTATCGTTGCTGCTGCTGTACTCTATATGTCGTCGAAAATAACATAAAAGTTTTGTGGATTTTGCGGTTGAGTCGTTATCTGTTTATTTTACTTATTCATTTAGTCTTTGCTTTCATTTGTTTTTATACAGGACATGAAGTTTGAGAAATCGGTCTAAATGTCGGAAATATGATTTTTAGGATCATTTAAATGTCATTGTTTGTAGTCGAATAATCAGTGTTTTATAAAAAGCGTTCTGCATTTATCATTTATGATTGGAATTTTTTAAATTTAATTCAATAATTAATCATCAGATGAGTATGAGTGAAGCTTTCTCTTCATTCAATTAATAATTGAAATACTGCTGGGACAAGTAAAAACTTGTATGAAAATTTAAGAGCAATATTCGCTTTCTTTCTAGTAAATGTTTATTTTTGAAAATTGCGAGTATTCGATACACAATATTCATTAGAGGAATGAAAATTCCAAGAATCCGAAACTTCATTATTGAGAAATGCTTAAATAGAAAAAAAAGCAGTGGTCCATAAATATAAGAATGAAATCCATTTCAATGAAATGCATGTTATTTAGAAAAATCGAAACTGAATTTTTGCGATGGCCCGCAAGAGAATTGCGAAGAAAATAGGAGAAAGGAATCAATTGGTTGAGTCTCTTCAGTGTCTCTTTCTATCTCTCTCGTTCTCTCTTTCGATTCGTTTGCGCCCAGCTGTACACAAGCCTTTTGCGCCCATGGACTGCCATATAATGGACCCCCTATAGCCTGAATAAAAGAAACGATTGAAGGAAATAGAGAGAGTTTGCGGTCGAGGAAATGCCTTCGCAATCGGTCTCTGTAATGCGTGCCCGTGGATTGAATCGCTAGCCTGGAAAAAAACTCGAAATTGGAAACAAATGAGACAGATTTTCATTTTCCTATCTTTTCTACATCATAATTATTGTTTTTTTTTTGCTTCGTACTGTCGCTGTTATACAGGTTCCTTTTTAATTAAAACTCTTTTTTGTAACTTAAATCCTAATTGCTATGGCAGTTGTTTTGATATAAATTGGATCATGAGATATTTATTTATTTTCGAAATTGTGGTAGCGTATACGTACATCGTAAAAGCGACAATAATTATGAAACGCTTGACTTTTTTTTCGACTTGAACTTAAATGGAAATGCATTATTTAACATTACAGACGGCGATTCTCGTGGTGAATTTGCTAGTGGCAGCGGCCAAGAGGACGAACCAATATCCCCAGACAACCTCGACATGGATATGGATGACGAAGCTATAGACGAGGACGAGGATGATGACGTAGACATGCGTACAAATGTATCCGATCAGCCAGACAACGAAGGCGTACATCACCACCAAGATAGCAATGCTTCCACCCCGTCGAGCAACGGTACTTCGAACAATAATAACAATAATAACAACAACAAAAAGCGTCAGAACGTCGCCTCGCCACCGTCAGGTAGCCCAACGAAGAATTGCCAATCGAGTCAAAGTAACGGTAGCAGCGGAGGTGGTGGTGGTAAACCTCGTCGTGCACGTACAGCCTTTACCTACGAACAGCTCGTAGCTCTCGAGAATAAATTCAAAACGACAAGGTATCTGTCAGTATGTGAACGACTAAATTTGGCGCTATCTTTGTCCTTAACCGAGACGCAAGTAAAAATCTGGTTTCAAAATCGCCGTACCAAGTGGAAAAAACAAAATCCTGGTCTCGATGTTAACAGTCCGACCGTACCAACTACACCACCACAACCCTACGGACCTGCTTTTCTTTTTCATCCTCACGGTCATGCACATCCACACGCTCATGTTCACCATGCTCCACCACCACCACCACCGGGTTATTATCATCATCCACCACCACCGTATGCACCGTCTGGTCCAGGATTTTTTGGGCCGCATCATCTTGCTACTCCTCCTGTCACGGTTGGAAGTAATGCTACTACACCAACTACGAGCGCGTAGCGAATGCAGCCTGTCCGAGTTGTCTGGAGTAAGTCTGATGAGTAATATTGTACATATAGGAACGATAATTTCGCAAACGAAAATGTTTTTCATTGGTGCGATTTTTTGTTTTTTGGTGTAATATATATTGTATAAACTTGCGTATTGAAGGTGCAATACAGATTTTAGAATAACATTTGAGATTTTGAAAGGACATTATACATATTGATTTGAGGCAAAAAGTAGTGCATTTTATTGATAGATAGAACTTACATTCTTATGGATTGTAGATATTCTAAATAAGTGTACTACTTTTTCATATATGCTACTATTTAAAATAAAAAATATTGATATGTGATGACTTTCACACTGTAAAAAAGAATAAAAATTCACAAATAGTTTGTTTATTTTTAAATTCAACTACGAAGTTAACTCGCACTATTTGTTTAAAGAATTTACTATGGAATGGATCGCGTAGATTAATAAAATTAAAATAGCTTTGCAGATCAATTCTTTTGTAATATAAAACTTTGTATTGTAATGCGTAAGAGCAGCCAATGAAGTTTAAATGTGAAAAAGAAAAAAAGAAAGAAAATCGTTCGAGTAAAAAAATTAATTTTTTTGCTTGGCGTTGTGATAAGCATAATTATACCGGAGATGATGATACTACGAGTATGAAATTCTCTGTGAAACGTCAAATACGTTGTACGCTTGTAAATCAACGGAAATAGTACGTATTCAATGTTCTACACTATATTTTTTCTGTGACAAAGTTTTAAAAATTTGTCGCTTGAATAATTGTTTTCTTACCATCTTCAAATTCTTCAATAGTATAAATTATTTACTTTGAGATTATCAAGCACAGAAATACAGCTCGACATGTTCAATTAAAAATTCAGCTGGAAAATTTGCTTAATAATATAAAATCAAAAACTTTTCATGAATTTTGACTACAAGTAAATTCATAACTGATTTATCTTGTAATCTTATATATTGAAAGCTTACATTTTTGAATCGTTTTTCAATCAATGACTAATGAGTTGTTAAATATATATAGTTAAGGGCAAAAACTTCTAAGAATTTCACGACACTGTAAATATTAGATATATGCACAAAAGAAAATATGTTCGATTTCTTAATAAGCGGAAAGCTTCACATCAAAAAAACAAACTCTTCAATGGAGAGAACGGGAGAAAAAAATTGTTATAAATTATCATTGGTACGCACGAATGAAAAGACTATGGTGTCTATAAAAAATTGTGCTTTCTCCGTCATCAATTATTATTATCATTATTACTATTATTATTATTACTATTATTATTATTACGATCATTATCATTATTATTATTAATATTATTATTATTGCGATTAATCGTCTATTTTATAGAAAATTATAATTTGATTAAACAGATATCAGACTTGAAAAACCAAAAAAATGTCACTCTCTCAGACGAACACATCCCATCAAATTCTCTTTTTTCAGCATTGTCTACTTCACCAGCTATCAAATCATGCGCGCAAGGTCAGTATTCTAAATCGTGCGTACGTTAAAATATAACTTGAGCCATTAGCACCTTGCACAGCTGCACACAAAGGTGAGTGCGGTGTGAAATAAACGGAGCGCGTTCCGTCGTTTCGCATCGCGGAAAAATCACTCTTGCGTCGGAGCGTATGTCCCCCGATCATTAGTCGGACGACTGGTTGAGAACAGACTATCGGCCTTTTCCGCTGCGAGTGCGCACGCTTGTGGATTCGCTTTGATGACCGAATTAGAAGCGCTACAAACAGGGAATCCCAAAGTTCTCCCCGCCATGTCAGCCCTCTCTCGACGGTGCGCACGGGAGGATCCGCGAATTGAGCTTTTATTTGTTCAAGCCTTTTCGAGTTTCCGCTGCTCTCGAGTTGGGTTTTAGAAACGTCGCCGAGTTTTTTATCCCCTCGTTATTCGAATTTTCAGATAGTTTCTTTCGTACGGTGGGTCTGTTTTACGTCTAACCGAATGCAAATTTTTCCGCGGACAACCAGCAGCAGTTTATTTTACAAGTATTGCCCGTTCAGTTGATTAACATTGGGTTATGTAGACTGTTACCTACAATTGTTTGCTCATTTTCAGAGAGAGATTGTCGTTGTACTGATTAAAACATTGATAAAGACCTAATAATTTTAATAAGATAATCAATAAAACTGCTTCAATGTGATTGTAGTAAAAAATGTAATTTGTTTGTCAAATCAAAGGAAAATCGATAACGAATCGCAAATACCCTTGCACTAAAAAGAAAAAGGAGAGTGCACTTTTAGCCGATACTCACAGCGCCCTGCATCACGAAGATTAGGCGTCTCTTTTCTCTTGGCGCCCTTATCGCTCTCTGCCCGTCGAAACGGCGTCCGTTATCGCGTAGAGAAAAGGAACCCTCCCTTCTCTTCTCCGTCTTTTCTTTTTTGTTGACGACTTTATTGGTTTAGTCCCGAAAAATAAATATACACACGCGCCCGAAGTCTGTTTGCTCTGATATTGTCGTTTCAAGTGGGTGTCATCTCGAGTGCTGCACTCGTAATTCTAATCCATTATTTTTAGATTTATCAGCTCCATAATCAGCGTTGCAGTGTTGTTTTACATTATCTGATCCATCGACGAAGGTCGACAGCTTTTTACCATAAAATCATTGCAATAATCACTAGTATATACCAAATTGACTACTTCAAACGCACCAGCATTTTAGAATCAGTGATTTTACAAATGTAAAAAAAATATTGAAAATGAAAATAAAGAAAAAAAGGAAGCACAGCCGTACACCAAGCATCGCAGTAAAGCGAAGCCGATATCGAGAGCAAAACCGTAGAGAGAGTGTCTGGCTGATTCTCTCGAATTAATTCTTAGGGGGAATGGATTTTGGGGGTACGGCCGAGCGGAACAAGTGGACCGTGAAATAACCCGCGCGACACTCGCACGTATCCCAGGGATTCCGTCTCCCCCCCCTCTCTCTCTCTTTTCTCTTTCTCTCCTAAGTGTACGTGTGAGTGTATGTGTGTGTGCGTGTGTGTGTGTACCGACCTTCTTAGCCTCCGACACGCTTGCACGATCCTTACCTCGGATAATACCTAATTTTTTTCCCTTCGTCCTCCCTTCTGGAGAAAAAAGGCTTTTCAAGTATGCGCATCGACGCCTCGACAGATATTTTTCAACTTAACGAGTGGCCTTCGAGAAAAATATGCTTAGTAATGAGCTGAAGAAGATGCTTACTCGATACAATTTTATTGATGTCCTTTAGACTTTTAATGGTGTTGAATTGAGAATGTGAATTTCGATAGAGATTTATTATTACATTAATGACTAGTTAGTCAATAAGAACAACAGATTATGAAGTATAGCTAGGTTTTAGCCAACCTTGATTATTTTTGCGGTTATTAAAATTCAAATTTAAATGAATTCATAAACTAAACTCTCTGTGGTAAAAATCTGATTTTTATATAAATATTCTGAAATTTGTTATTCAATTCAGTTTTCAGACCTTGAGCAAATTATACCTAGGTGTCTTGAGCTAAAACAAGTGTATTCTTTACATGAATCGTTATTGATGTTGATTTTTTTTTAAACTTTGTACTGAAAGTATATTTTCTCCACATAGTATTATAGAAAAATACTAATATTGATATAAATACAATATTGTAATGATTTAGATATGATAACTAATAGTTGAAATGTCGTTTGTCACCGACGACGTTTAAGACCAGACGTATTTATTCGTAACAGTCGTGTCGTCTGTTTATTGTTTCACATCTGATGGAACGCTCACATAAGGCAGAGAATGTTTCTTATCTTTTTACATATTAATAAATGATTACAATAATAAATGGATTATTTTCTTTGTTCACGATTCTTAAAACAAAACTGTTAGGATTCGTCATCAATGAAACGTATCCTCATTAGCAAACAAAATTAAATACTTCATCTTGCGTATTTCTCACTAAACAATCGACATCGTCAAGCTCTATAGTGTCAACGTCAGCAAGGCAAATGACGCAGAGAAGAAAGACCGAATGAGAGAGAGAGACGCAAACCAGGCCGATAACATCCAGGGATTACTCCGTTGTTGAGGTCAGGCAGCTGTAGCAGCGCAAGCTCCACGTAGGAGTAGCGAGAGTTAGGCGTCTCTACTCAAGCGCGTAATAGCGCGATGGCTGTCGCGCTCACTTTATCTCGATTCTTAGACGTACGCGTGCCTTTTCTTCCGTGAAAACACCGATTGCTAGATATGTAAGCGACGTTTTAGTTTTTCTTTTTTTCGATTATGATGAGAAGACTTTTAGTTTATCGATAATGCGAGATGAAGCTTTCTTCTATCAGTTGCAAGCTTATATTTAAAATGTACTCTAAAATTTAAATTACATTGGGACTCAATAAAAGGATACCTGCTACCTTGCGATACCTGAAAAATTAAGTTTTATCTATAAGATCATTTATTTAGACCAAATATTTCAATACGGATAGCAATTAGTTCGATTATAATTTTTATTTTATTTATTCTATCATAGCCTCCTGCACTTTCGTTATTCACTTTTTCATCTCCAAATAAGATATTTTAATGTTAAAGTTAGGCTGGCATTTTTTAATTATATATTTTATAAGTTCTCATCTAATACGGTATTACAAAAAGATAAAATATCTCCGCCAACACGAGTATCTCATCGAAAACCGATCGCAAGAAAGAAAGAGAAAATAAAAATGCCCGCAAAGGGCACGACAATGCAAAGCGTCCCTTCCGTTTTTGCGCATGCGATCGTATACTTGCTTCTGCTTCCGCAAATTTGGGTGCAAATGAGCGGCAGCATTGCCGAGGGTTGAGGAGGTAGAAGAGGATGAGCGGAGTCTGCGCGTTCGCCAATAATAATGTTAATTGAAATTGAGCGCCGAGGGGGACGAAAGTTCGCGAGCGCGCGCGCGAGAGAGAGTCAAAAGAGACTGTTTCACCAGGGTAAATTGAGATTTTATGACGTTACGTTGTACATAGGATGTTTTATTAGTTCTTTCTTGTATTCTTGTAATTTGTAATCGGAGGACAAGTTTTTAGGTAATGGATATTTCTTTGGAAAACCGAAATCAATACATCTGGAAAAACAACTTAATAGAAATATAGACAGAAAAAGCTACTAATTTTGCAGTGTAAAGTAGTAAAAATAACAATCGAAATGTTAATCAGAAGTGGTATTTTTAATCTGGTTAGAAAAAATTAAAATTACTCAATTAAAATCATCAATTAACTAGCTTTCACGACAATTCTAATATTTTCCTTTAAAAATCTTATTCATACTTGGAAAATTACTAGCTTACTATGTTGATATTTGTAAAAAACAAGTGAATTACGGTATTATACGTGGTTCCGCGCATTGAATCGCTTTTAACTCAAACTCGTTCGCAAAACAAATGTTGATTCAATGATTCAAAAGCTGACTATATTTACGCACTAAAAATTTTAGACGAACAAACCGATAATTTTAATGTAATGATAATTCAAACTGATTCAATATGGCTGGTAATAAAAGTTGAACAAATAGAACATACTGATCTCTATTTTGTAATTAGTTCTAAGTTTGCATTACTGGCTATATCTACCTCCAAACTCAGCTGGTTCTCGACAAACCAGCGAACTTATTCCAAAGCAATATTTGATCTACATCGAAATTGAGAATCAATCTATACAAACAATGCCGCTATATATCTACAGCAGTTTGGATCCTCCCATGCAGACTTAAAATGCAAAAAAAAATGAATATATAAGAAAAAAAAAAGGAAAAGTTAGAAGTAGGCATGAGGGCGCGGAAGAGCCGAATAAAATAATAAACCGCATCAATCACAAAGACCGCAGCGGAGCCGCGCGAGAGATAAAAACAAAGGGAGCAAAAAGGCAAAAGTGATAAAACGAGGAAGATGAGAATCGAGAGAGCGAGAGAGAGAGAGAGGGAAAGAGAGAGGGAAAGAGAGAGAATGGGATTGTCGTATATATGCACGATCGCAAAAAGAGAGAGAGGCAACCCAACCACCAACGCCACGCCTTTCGATACACGATGCACGTATGAGCGATTTGAGAGAGAGAAAGCGTTAGGATTATTTTTCAACTGGCGGCGGCTTCAGCATGGCCGGACTTATTTAACGAGATCCCGTTTTTCGATTCTCGCGTACGCGCGCCACGAGAAAGAGGCATGAAATAAAAAGCTCGAAAGACTAATTATTCGGCTTCGCTCCCCCTGGCTGCTCACGTAATTGAAGAGGAAAGCCTATGAATACGATCGGCGG